GTGCCTGCCACAGCATATTTTTAAAAAACAATATCCTCGTATACCACCTGGCATGCCAAGGAAATTGTCTCCACGTGCCACTAATTGGCATGTGTGCTGGGGGTTGCCTATTCCTGGTTTAGGAGTTCCTGGCATGGGTAAGACTACTGCATCCCTGACTCCTCCCACTCTCAGAAACCACAACCTCTAACTCCTGGAACTGCCCCTTTCCACTTACTTTCTCACAGGGTTTGCCCTGGATGCCAACTCTGCTTATCACCAACTGCCTCCAACACCTTTTGGTGTAAATTAGATTCATATATTGATGATGTATTTGATTACATTTACTACAATTCTACTTTCCAGATTAACAATTTTACAGGCATGGTTATTATGAACTGACCTGGGCCCAGTTCAGCAAAGCACTTAAGCATGACCTTTATAGTCCATTACTATTAAACATAGCACTTAAATCCATTCTTAATTTTTATTGAAGACAGTAAACAATGAAATTAAAGTTTATGCCATCACTTTCTTGAATAAGGACAGATTTAAAAACATGCGTAAATGTTTTAGTGAATTGAACCCTGTTAGAGTCCTGCTAATGAAATTCGGGCAAGCCACCCCATATTTACCATAGGGTAAGATACCTATGCAAATAGGTAGTTACTGCATGCTGTAAGTTCACACACTAACTTTTCTCATAGAAACTTGTCTGTGTGCCCATATCCTTACTTGTCACAATTAATTCAAATTTATTAAATAAGCTAATTTATTTAATCATATATACAAGAGACAAGAAGAGTCCTAAGCACTGAAGGGATGCGAGATGGTTGAATCAATCACAATTCCTACTTTCATCTTATTGGACATGTTTGGATACCACCCTGAGAAAAATGCTTTAAGAAACTATCCTTTTAAAAGGATCTGGCCTGAGTCAGCTGGAACTACTAATGTTGTGCAGTCACTTATATTAAACAATGCCAGTCAGTTAGAACTCAGATATTGAAAGACATCTGTCAAATTCCTTGGCTCTGAGTGATTACTGAACACCACAAGTATGGCATACTCCTGTCTGTCTGGAGAGCAGTGAGAACATGGCCTTGCCCATGAACAGATCTAGGATTTTATAAAAGGTGGGTATGGTTGGGTGCACCCCATACTTCTAGCCTTTTCCCCTGCTCTCCACTGGGGTGATCAGACCATACCATAGGAGCAGCTGCAGGGATTTTTTTTTTTTAATCCCTCAGTCAGGTAAAAGTCTTCCCTCCCTTATGTGCTTAGCAGCATGTTGTCTCCCCTTTCCTCCCATTCTCCTGCTCTCTTGCCCTTTGCTGCTGTGCCTACTGTCACTAACTGATCTAGTAGGAAGGAAGGTGGTGCAGAGGTAGGCATGTTTGAGAGCCACTACTGTCCCACTCCAGCCAGGCTGCATGTGGAATGAGGCTCAGTCAGAGACAGCAGTGATAGCAGCAGTGGCAGTAGAAGGCAGGTTCCCTTCCCCTCTGACTGCTCTTCAGTTGGCAGGGAATACCTAGAGGGACTGGCTGGAAGGAGAAACCCAACCACTATCACCACTGTCCCCAGCTCAGCCCAGCTCCCTAAGGAGTCCAGTAGGAATGGACAGGAGTGGCTCTGAAGCATCCATTGGGGCAGCTTAGGACAGCGTCAGCCGTGGGTGGGGTGGGGAGAAGTAGTGCTGCTGAGCAGGGAGGAGAAGGGAGGGGGGAGTTCTTACCCAATTTGGGGACTTAAAAAGTCCTTGGCTGCTGTGCTCATAATGTCTTTGACTGAAAGGGGATGCATGTGCATCACAACACCCTGTCTGGATTTATGCTACACCAGTTAGAATTTCAGTGAACTCTGGAGCATTAAAGGAAGAGGCACTTTCTCTGAAATTCTAACTGGTGTACTAAACATTCTGTTTGATGCATTTTAGCCTCAGCACAAAATGCAGTTTTCAAAATGCAGGGCAGACACAGATAACATATTGTTTACAGTTGATAAGCTGTACAGAGGCCCATACAGTGAATATCTGCTTGAAAGACCAACACAAATTGCAGGCAAGCAACACCCTCCTGCCCCTGGCAGCACTCTTTGCTTCAAGTGATGTAGTCAGGTTAATTGGAATTTGTTATTATTGTTGCCCTTAAATGGCTATGTTTCAGCTGGTTACAGTACGATTTTTTGGCTTGAACCTGTCATCTCTTTAGTTATCTTGGCTATTACTTGCTTATGACATTATTCTGATTCTGTTTTTATTCTTGTTTCCCTTGTAACACCAAATCATTAAAAATTACAGCATAGGGCTTTACTTTGTAACTTTATAAGATGAAATCAATAAACCAGTGAACATATCATACTAATAAATGTATTTGATAAACCTCTGCTAAGAAACTCCTACAATTCAATGAGCATCACAATTGCTCAAGCACTGATATAGTTATACAGTGAGGATGAAATTTGAGATTTCTTTCTGATTCCGACTTAAATAGCACTGCTACATTTTGACAGTGTTCAATATTTAATTAGCTGTGGTAGAAGATCTGCAGGAGAAGCGAGCTTTCTGAGTTAATTAAGTCCCTCATACAGAATGTACCCTATATTTAAGTCAAACTGTTTGTTTTTATGAATGTATTATTCAGAGGACTTTTGTGTAAGCTATTCATTTCGTAATTTTTCCCTCACAGTCTCACTTGCGTTCTAAAAAGAAATTATGGACTTTCCCTGTAGCTGTCATAATGAAAGACAACTCTTTTGTGAGCTGGAACAGAAAGCCTAAGCTGTAAATTGATCGCTACAGTGTAGAGAAGTGATGGTCATTTGTTCCATTCCTCTTACTACCTGAAGAGTAAGAAAATACAAACCAAAACACTGCATGTCATGAACATATTTGCTAGCTCTTCAAGATACCATGCTGCTAATACTGCACTCATCTGACATCATATTTATTGTGTTTACTATAGCACATATTTGTTTGCTAGAAGACATA